GAATTCAATGGTTTATGAAGTCCGGTCATGACCTCCTAACCTACTTAAGGTATGCATAAACTCATATCATCAATATCTGAATCTCATGTACGTGTATTAAAACTAACCGCCGTTATGCGTAGGGCATTAGTGTAACTTCGATTAGAATATCGCTTGTAAGAATATAATGGCCATTATTTTTGTAGCTTAAGATTTAGAGACTTTATTAATGGTTTTGCAAACTAATGGCTTAAATGTTTACATCTAATGGTTTGGCATTCTCTTCTAGAATGCCCAACTGCAGATTTCGAGCGTGTTGAAGGCAACCTGCCGGCGCATGAGGAAAGAGTTGTGGTGTTCCCCGGGATATTATTATCAACGTTATTATGAACTGATGTTGGAGGCAGTTGATGCCGATGAGGTTAAATTTTACCAAGTACAAGTTGCAGTAGATTCCGTTGATGACAGAATGTGGTTGGAAGTGTTTTGTGTCATGGATGATGAACATTATTCTTTAAGACTATATCATCACCTAGTTAACCATACACTTATCCGATTTACACCATGTGGTTGCTTTGATCATTGTCATATTACGCGTTTAGGGCGAGGGCTGGTATGTTATGCCTGATTATGTATTAAAATTAGTATTGATCATCAATTATTTGTTTGAAACAGACAACTTTTTTGATGATCGACGCTTCAAACTCCAGAGGTCCGGATCTCTTCGTATATCTTTGTTCAGGTTTGCATCTTCTTCTTCTTCTATTTGGTAACAATTCTCATTTGCATTTTTAATGCGTAATGTTCTGGTCTAATGTGCACAAGTGATTTCATCGGTCACAAAATTTTCATTGTTGAACCCTTGTGATGGATTATTCCCCCACTCTAAATTCTAAACGATTAAGAGGGAGCTTCAAACTTGGGTGTAAAAGGAGGATCGCCCTGCTCAAGCCTACTTGGTTACATAGATGATGTCCACCTTTTTTCGTTTTCACCAAGTTAGGTCTAAGGTCGAATTTCAACTCATTCCTCATCTTAAATGATAAATGTAACTAATCGTAAATAATGAAATATTCACATTCACTAAAGTTTAACCCTTGCATAAACAATCATCAATCCAGGATTACATTTGATAGTCAACGATGTGCAGGAGGTTACACGGGTGGAGATGGGAGTGATAGAGAGCATGTTTTTTTGTTGTATTTTATTTTTTAACTTTTCAATATTTATGTTTCTTTAGTAATAAAAAATGGTTTTGATTTTTGACTAATTTTAAATTTTTGGTGGGGCCAAAGGCTTGCCATGTCATTGTTTAATGAAGGACTTAATAACTAAACCAACAAAATTATGATTTTAGAAACAAATCGTAACTTTAAGTATGAAAGTGAGACGAATAAAACTATAGGTATCAAAGTGCCAATTTATAATATTTGAAAGTAATAAAGTGAGAACTACCGTCTAATGTAATATTCTTTATTATTTAACCTAATGAGAGAAGTATCAATCATAAAAGCATAAGGAAAGGGACAAAAAAGAATTGAGTATTTATTCAATTATATTTGTTTGGACGGTTGTTGTCAAATGTGCATAAAATATTACAAAAGAAATTGGATTTGCCGCATTTTTATTCGGACGATCCCACCCGAAAATCGAAAAGTTAGTTTGTGTCGTGTCGGCGCCCCTACGGATGGGACTAGCGAGTCCAACTCAATTTAGTCACTTTAGGAGTGTATTATTAGCGTTTGTCATTCGTGTGATATCAGGAGAGTGCGACCTCTGCTCCCTCCGTCCCAGACAATCGTCGTCCTCCCTCTTACAAATTTACAATGGCTGCCAACGGCATGATCAGCGCCTCCCAAACATCTTGGCTAAGATCCTCTTACTCCGGAGCCCATCTACGTAGACTGCCGCCATCGTCAGTTGGGTTTATCTCTCTGTCTTCATCATCATCATCATCAGCTGGAAAAATTTCGCAGAGCAGGCGCGTCTTTTCTCCGGAGCAGGAGGCCGCCGGAGGAGGAGGCCTGACGTACAAGGATGCTGGTGTAGATATAGATGCTGGAACGGCGCTTGTTGATAAAATTAAAGCCATGGCTCCTGAAATTGGATCCTTTGGGGGGCATTGTCCACGATGAGATACTTGGCGGTAAGTATGATTAATCAATGTATATAATTAACTAATTAATTAATGTTTGATTTTTATTCGTATGCTGTTTGTAATTTTAATTGTATGGTGATGATGTTGAACAGATGATATATGCCTTGTTCACGGGACAGATGGCGTTGGAACTAAACTTAAGCTTGCATTTGAGACTGGAATTCATGATACCATTGGCATTGATTTGGTAATCTACCACCTGTTTCTAATATACATATTGTTTTCAATTGATAATTGCTTTTGCAATATCTCGACTATAATCATTATATCTTCGTTTGTTTGTTCCTTTGTTCGTCCGTTCGACTCTCAGGTTGCCATGAATGTCAATGATATCGTTACTTGTGGGGCGAAGCCTTTCCAGGATTACTTTGCTACAGGCCGCCTTGATGTCGACATCGCTGTTAAGGTACAGTTCACAGACAGTGTGTATGCCCACTAACTGCACTATCGCTTATTCCAAGTTTCTTCCTCTGCACTGTCGTTTAGGTTATACAAGGTATTCGCGATGGTTGCCAACAATCCGGCTGCAGCTGTAAACTTTCGGGCGGAGAGGTATTCGTAACTAACTAGTCTTTTTGAATTGCGCCATTAATTGCCCTGTGACTCTTTGAGCTGGAGATTAAATCCTTCCGAACATGAAGAATAAATCTTAATGTTTGCAATCCTTAATTTATACAAACTTTTTTATAAGGTATACACGTCTTGCTGATAACTGCGGACGTTTTTAGACTGCAGAGATGCCGGGCTTTTACAAAGACGGGGAGTATGACCTGGGTGGCTCTGCTGTTGGAGCTGTGAAAAAGGATTCGATCATTGATGGGAAAAACATTGTTCCCGGAGATGTCATCATTGGCCTGCCGTCCAGTGGGGTTCATTCCAATGGTTTCTCTCTTGTGAGAAGGTTGGTGCTTCAGCCTATTACAAATTAGAAAAAAAAAAAAAAAAAAATTAACTTTCAGTTTTTGTTAGCAACGACACTATTGTAGTCTATGGCAAGTAGCTTGCAGTATGCGATTAAATTTTGTCTCGCTGGCCGGTCGGTTGACTCGCTGACTCATTACAAAATAGTCCTACCTTACTACTGTTGCATTCATATTGTTACAGGTTCTGGCTGATGCTGGGGCTTCTCTCAAGGACCAACTGCCTGGTGGAGAAGGTATTACATTTGGCGAAGCTTTGATGGTCCCGACTGTGATATATGTTAAGCAGGTAGGGTCAACATCGATCAAACCCATTATTATACTATGCAGATACATGTTTGTGTGTAACTAAATAACTAGCTGCTGAAAATCGAAGTGCAAATGCTCCCATCATTGAACTCTTTGTTAACTTACTATTGCTTTACACCAATACATGCAGGTCCTTGACCTAATAAGCAAGGGAGGTGTGAAAGGAGTAGCTCATATCACAGGGGGTGGTTTCACAGAAAATATACCTCGAGTGTTCCCGAAAGGCCTAGGAGCGGACATTTATAAAGACTCATGGGAAGTCCCATGTATTTTCAAATGGATCCAGAAGGCCGGAAGAGTAGAAGAGGCTGAGATGAGACGGACTTTTAACATGGGAATTGGAATGGTTCTTGTTGCGAGTCCGGAGGCATCCCAGAGGATACTTGAGGAGGATAGGAATGTTTACCGCATTGGTGAGGTTGTAAGCAGTCATGAAGGGGTGGCTTATGTATACTTGATTTGACGGAACCACAACTTTTCTTGTTCCAGTTTTTATTGTCACTTTGATTAAAAAAAAAAAAAAGTCAACGTTAACGCGCTTTCTGTTTCTTTGATGGTAATATTTAATGTGCTTTCTGTTTAGTTTTACGCATAGAAGATACATAGGAAAAATTAGGGATGTAGAAGAGTGGTGAAGGAGATATGGTGATTGTTAAAAGTAGGGCCAACTACGTTTTAGACTTTTTAGGTTTCAAGTAATTTTCAAAATTAGTCACAAACATTGCATCGATGGTTTGAAATCATTTCAATTCATGTCTTTTGTTTGTTTGATTGATTGTCTAGTCTTTTGGTAAATTGATGTCTTGACAAGTTAGAGATCTATTTATAATTTGATGCGGAAGCCACACTTGCACTAGGACTAAGATGAAGAAGTAACTAAGTGACACGTACGCTTTCACAATTTTTGAAAAATTAAGGACTTGTTTGGTATCCTGCTTGAAAATTTTTATCATTTCTCAGAACATTTCTTGAAAACAATTTTCTCTAAGACTCAAAAACTTGATTTAAAATTTTTAAATTTTATGACTTAAACTAGATAAAGAGATCTAAAAAGAGAGGATCGCAGGAGAAGGTGAAAGAGGAAAGAGGAGGAAAGAAAGTAAGATATGATTGAAGGAAAGAGAAAGAAGAGAGAGGATCAGACGAGATAGAGAGGAAGAGGATTGAGAGAAAGAACCGTGAGAATGAAGACAACATATTGAAAGAGAGACGAGAAATGCAAAAAAACGAGGAGAGAGAGAGAGAGAGATTTGGAGTGAGTGGGGAGGAGTGAGAGAAATGAAAGGATTGAATTTAAGTTTAAAAACTCATTTTTTATGGTTTAGAAAATAAAATATATTTTTTAGTTCAGTTTTTTAAAATAGTCTTACGAAACAAGTTTTTAAAGCCTAAAACTTAAAAATTATTTTTGAATTTAAAAAGTTGTATTCAAGTAAAGTACCAGATCTTAATGTTATATATAAAAAAAAAAAAAATCAACTTTTAACACGTAAGTCAATTTTAAATGAAGCCCAAGACAAAGAAGAAAGGGAGACACAAATATGCGACGACCATACAGTTTCAAAATCCAATGTACTTACAAGGGCAAAAAGGTAAATAAGGCATAAGTCAAAAGCTGTTTTGTTGACGGGAGAATTAACAAAACAACAGCAACAACCCTAGGTGGAGCTTCAGCTCGCGTTTTATTCCCGCCACTCTCTCTTTTTGAGCTCCGTCGCTCTCGGCAGAAACTCAGCTATTCACTGACTCATCTGTTCAGTTGCCATGGTCTCCTCCTTGAAACCAAACACTCAGCTCTCTCGCTGCTTTCCCACTTCGCCCAGACCCTCCTTCTCCAACGCCAACCCCGCCCAAACCCAACTCTGCAGACTCTCACCTGGGTCTCACTCCGCTGCCTTCTCCCCCCTGTCCATGTCTTCCTCCGCCGAAACTTCCCGGAAAAGCCACTTGCTTTCGGCTTCAAAAAACGAGTCCGGAGAAAGTGGTAGCGGGAATGTCGGTCTGACGTATAAGGGCGCCGGTGTGGATATTGACGCCGGTTCGGAACTTGTTCGGCGAATTAAAAAAATGGCTCCTGGGATTGGAGGTTTTGGGGGTCTTTTTCCTTTCGGTACGAATATTATGCTAGCTGTTTGAATTTTTTAGTACTTGGGGTGATGAAATTTTTGTGCACTGTTTGTTTGAACTTTTGATTACTCGCGCTGATCAAGTTTTGTGGTGATTGCAGATGATAAATACCTTGTTGCCGGCACAGATGGCGTCGGGACGAAGCTTAAGCTTGCTTTCGATACTGGAATTCACGACACCATTGGTATTGATTTGGTAATGCTAATCTTGTTCGAATGAATTGTCATGTGGTACACAATGTGTCGTTGAAAACTGCTGCTCTAAATGAGTTTCGATTCTCAGGTTGCCATGAGTGTCAATGATATTGTTACTTCTGGTGCTAAGCCGTTATTTTTCCTTGATTACTATGCTACAAGCCGGCTCGATGTTGATCTTGCTGAAAAGGTAGAGCTCACAGTGCCTGAGTTTCTTGGGTTGTGTAAATACATATCACTAATTGAAGCTTACTCACGTTTTTTGTTTGTTTTACCTTTTTCTAGGTTGTAAAAGGTATTGTCGATGGTTGCAAACAATCTGACTGTGTTCTTTTAGGTGGAGAGGTATGCTAAATAATCAATTCTTGTGTTAATATGTATATCAAGCATTTTTTTTGCAGTTAATTTGAACGTATAGCATTTTACTTTCACGCTCGCTTTATTAATACTTTGACAAGGTATGGATCCCTGAATTGCATATGCCGAGCATGTCTTCTTGCGGTTAATTAGTATATATATGGTGTTTGTGCTTATATTTGGTACACTTGTTATACATATTTTGGCTAATGGAGGGCTCACTGAATTGCATATATTTTCAGACTGCAGAGATGCCAGATTTTTACGCAGATGGTGAGTATGACCTCAGTGGTTTTGCTGTTGGAAGTGTGAAAAAAGATGCAGTGGTTGATGGGAAAAACATTGTGGCTGGAGATGTGCTCATTGGCTTACCCTCCAGTGGGGTTCATTCTAATGGTTTCTCTCTCGTGAGAAGGTTGGTGCTGCTCAAACAGCATTAGTGTGTAGTGGTTTTCATATACTAAATGTAACGGAAGCAATCAACCTCAAGAATTCTTTTGGTATATCTTTACAGGGTTCTGGCTCACAGTGGTCTTTCTCTGAAGGATCAGCTGCCTGGGGAAGATATTACGTTAGGTGAAGCTTTAATGGCCCCAACTGTGATATACGTTAAGCAGGTGAATGCTAACCCGCTTCCAATTCTTTTGCATTTGTGCTTGTCTTGTGTTTTGCTAGTTGCTGAAAACGCTCTCCTCTTTTTTTCCATGCACCAATAACAGGTTCTTGACATAATCAGTAAGGGGGGCGTAAAGGGGATAGCCCACATCACAGGGGGTGGTTTCACGGACAATATACCTCGAGTATTTCCGAAAGGCCTAGGCGCTGTCATCTATAATGGTTCTTGGGAAGTCCCAGCTGTTTTCAAATGGATCCAAGAGGTATAAATATATTACATCCAGCAATCAATTTTGGAATTCTAATTTTTGTTAGATATATCGCTTTGAGCTGGCATCTTGAAACTACGTAATCTAGTTTTCTGACTGTCCTTATTTCTAACCCTAGGCCGGAAGAATAGAAGAGGCTGAAATGTTGCGAACGTTTAACATGGGTGTTGGGATGGTTCTTGTTGTGAGTCGAGAGGCAGCCCATAGAATACTTGAGGATGCAAATGGAGCTAATAAAGCTTACCGCATTGGTGAGGTTGTACGTGGTGAAGGAGTTAGTTATAGTTGAAATGAGATACGAGTTAATGTATGCTCTTTTGAGCCTATTTGACGAAGTGAGATGCAAGGTAATGTAAGTGCGGCATGGATTTTGCAGTTTATGTATCTTGAATCTTGACGTTCACAAGTTAAATGGGATTTGTCAGAGTTGTCATGAAAGCTTGAGTTCATTAAGGATGGCAGGGCTCTGTTTAAGTTATCAAGTCCGTTTTCTAATCCGTTTCTAATACGTGCTTAAACTATAATCGCTTTCACCGCTAATGATCCAATTTTGATTCTGAATCTTCTGTTCAATGTACAAAAAGTACCTCATCTGCGCTGATATGCCTTTGCGTTTTTCGTGTTGGTGTGCATTGAAACGGTAGTTGTACGGGAAAAAGGTCCTGAAACCTGTTTTGGTCGATGCTTGCAAGCCAACCGATGAGCACCATTTACAGGATTTGCTTGCTTGTAAGATTAACGACTTGCTCATTTCACAAGGATTTTACCGATCAGATTTCTAAGATTCAACTTGATTTCAACACACTAAAATTCCGTCGGGAGTGCAGAGGCCAAAAGTGGTATGTCAAAATCGGTATCGTAACTTCTAAGAACAAACTCAGAAATAGTTGGATAAAATCGTGAAAAGGAAATCTATGAAGCCAATATTTGGTCAATACAAAAATTGTTTATCAATCCTATATTTTCGAGCAAAAACATGTGAAACATTGAGTTCTCTTGTGACTCAAGAGCAGCCGAGTTGCTTGCTCCCTCTACAAAAATAAGCAGCACCCGGCTTATACATGTCGATTCAAAAAGGCAATCTGTCTCCCCACCTCATACACTTGCACCTAAAAATAGTAGGAATTGTCCTTCGGATTGGCAGCATCCTTGCAAAGAATAGACCGGACTTCCATTATGGATCTAGGGGGCTGCACGTCCTTCTCCTGCAGTGTGTTCCCCAACAGCTGCTGCATCTGTGATGCAAATGTATCATCCAGAATCTGCAAATACAAAAAAGGTTGCACATTAGAATGGAAACAACCATACCAAGAAGAAAAAGAGGCAACGAGGTTGGAAGGTTTCAACCACTACTTACAGAGACAGCGATGCGAGAACCCTTATACCACGACTTATTTTCTTTTCGGTTCTCTAAGAAACTCAGAACATCCTGCGACAGAAAAAGAGCCAACATTAGATGAGCAAAAGCATCAGCACAGAGCCCCGAATTCTTGAAATGCCAGATTGAAGAATTTACCTGTCCCATTCGGTCCCAATAACCTCGACAAATTGCAATGAAGACGTGAGTCCCAAACACAGTGTGCAGGTGAGTAACTGTGGTTGCCAGCTGGCCTTTCAGAAGCTGCATTCTACTTCTCACATCAGATTCTACCACGGTTTCTTTTGAATCTTGCAGAATCTTCTTTAGTTTTGTAGCACTCTGCAACTTTGACTGCAATAAACATGAAAATCAGTGACACTTGACAAAAATCACTACTTAATAATTTTAAGCATCCACACAGGTAGTGAATGGAAGCAGATAGTGGTTGCTTACTGCAAACATGTGCAGAAGCCTAGCAGTTCTTTTTATTGGTCAAGTAATTCAGATCGTTACACGAATATACCAGTAATTCAGATCTTTATACACCAGAAAATGAATTAATACACGCTTTAATTATTCTTTGATGGACAAATTAGGCATTTTGTACATTATGACAGATTGGCAATTAACATGTTTAACCCTTATATCCATCTTATCTATACTTAGATCATCTCCCGAGCCATTTTCTTTTTCTTTTAACATATACTCGTTAATTTTGTAACACTATCACACAACAACTAATTCAAACAGAAAGGTGCAAACCACAATGATACTCACATTCTCTGCAAGTTTTTCAACAACTGCTTGTATGTAATTTTTGAACTTGGCTCTCAACATTACAGTGACTTCACTGAGACGCTCTCCAGGAACTGTGTTCCCACCATCCGGAATGCAGGAACCCCATGATTTGAACTGAACTTCGATTTGGGGACGAAGGACATCAAGCATTCTCTTCAACGAATTCAACAGAATTCCCAACTGAAATGCAATCATCAATTTTTAGTTTTATTTTTTAAAACGTTGAATACACACTTGAAGATAACCCCAAAGTTCTAATAGTCAACTAACCTCTTCAGGGACTGTATAGGCGCTCACAGACCTTTTGGCAAGCTTCTGAACATACTTGAGGCCAAATTTCTTTGGGGCCAAATTTTCCTTTAATGGTGACAGGATGTCTGCATACTGCTTGTCTAGAGATTCTATGATCGCCTTCTCGACATCAGCAATAGCCTTTGTATTGAAACATACTTGAAATTACCAAACAAGCTTAATATATGCATATTTATTTCTATTTCCAATATGATAACGTCATAACGCACAAGTACAATTTTCTGGATTCAAATTCTAATGTGGAATATAAAGACAAAAATATGCGTAAAGAGAGATTCACTCTGAACTAAGCAAGCCAAGAAAATAAGAAGCCATAACCGGATGACAAGAAACTCAAATTGTAAACCTCCAAAAAACCAAAAACAAAATAAAAATTATAAAATAAGGAAACGATTATATTTTATAAACTGGATACAAAAATATGTGGATGAACAAGACTGTTATAACACTAAATGTCATATTCCTTAAGCAAAACAAATAGCTCTGTATTCTATTCTTTAACCATCATGTTTAAAGTAGGAAAAAGATTAATTAATTAAGCAAATGAAGGAAGAAGGTGGATCCCACATTCATGGATGTGGTACATATGTGTAAGTCCAACAATAAATTGTTGGATAAGTTCAAAATGAACGATGGTGATGAGAAAAACCAAAGTAGACCAAAGACGACACGAGGAATCCAACTTACATTCTCCAGAATGCAGGCATATTCAGGCCATCTGGAAATGATGATCTCATAGTCACTCAAAGTTGCTTTCAGACGATCATACATTTCATCCACAAAAGGAGTCGTCGAATGCTGTGTCCTAACTCCTGACCATTTTACCTGCAAGTGTATAATCTTTAGATACCTTATTGAACATACACCAGTTTATATGAGTGAGGATATCTTTAGAAGCATCGTTTAGCATAGCCCTCCAAAGATGCAGGTATAAAATTGTTGATAAACCACCACAAAAAGAGTACCGACTCATTTGAGATAAATTTCATACACAATAACACTTAATAACATAAGTACCTTGTCTAATTTGCATGCTTCGAGCAAGGACCCACGCTTATTTTGAATCCACAGCATAATATAGAGGTGGAACAATTCTTTTGCATCAACGCCAGCTTTAATATAGCTGAGATAACAAAGAAAATGAATTAGGACAATGCAAACCAAATAATATAATTAAGTGTTAACAATAGTAGTAGTAACAAAATTAACATTACCCGATGTTCCAACTGGAAAGGTCTCTTTGGAAATCTGATGTGGCTATAACAAGGTCTCCTACAGGGGATGAAGGACCCGTTGGGGGGCAAGCAACGAGGAAAGCATGCAATCTACTGCATAGGTCTGTGCTGTATATTGATGCTGACAGATGTGGGAGGTCTACAAAACTGTGTAATGAAAAATAAAGCATCAGAATTATATCTGTCCAACATCAAACAGCCAAACAAACCACTGCACTGGTTTGAGTAAACAATACAGCTTTTCTATATTTTCACAATCACAAAGAAAGTCAAATTAATATCTTAACTATGATCAGCCATGTCGTAAGAAATATTAAACAAACTAAAGCATATATTAAAATGTTAACAAAGACTTAAATCAGTGGTTTTTGCATCTCAAAATGTGAGGAAAATGACTAATAAAACTCTTCTTAATAATATGGAGATTTAGTTGACACTATTCATACTAAATATAAAATATCCGAAGGGTAATTTCTAGTTTTCCTTTCACCTAGGGCCTAAATTTTCAAGGGGCATCCTCTCACATTCCATAGCAAGATCCATTGACCAGAGATAGGGGAAGTGTTTATCTATTTTGAGCTATTCAGTCAAACCAATGGATCGTTAGTGTATAGCAGATAGCATAAGAATTTCACCTCAGAGCACCTATGCACATGAAATAATTATTTTTGCTAAAGATAGTTTGACAGGAACAGGATCATATATACATAAGACGTCAGACCTCAACACAAGATTCAGCACCATATGTCAAAATATCAATTGGCGTAGGTTTTCAATAATGTAACCACAAATGATAGCTTTTTATCATCATTTCATTTCCTAACAATAAAACAAGCCAACTGTTTACAAATACTAGATAGTGCCTCTAATGGACAAATATTTTGCCAAAAAAAAAAAAAAAAAATGAAATCAGATTTGAGACAGTATCACTTGATGGTTTCACGTGTGTACCTGGGGAGTATATGCTGATTATGGATCTCAATATCAGTGTGGATTTCATTCCTAATGTTAAGGCACAAAGATTTCATTTTCTGGTAAGCAGTCGCCATACTCAAACTATCAAGCAATATACCATCGCTATTGCTGGTAATATATTCATCTGTCTCAGCTAAGTGCCTCCGTGATCTCTTTCTCGCAGCAACCTGGCCAGTCACTTAAAACAATTAGAGAAAAGAACAGATATATCACCCACGCAAATCATTGTTAAATAAAGGGAAATTTCTCAAACCTGGAAATGGTGGCATAAAGCAGTCTGCGCTTCGGGAGACAAGATATCATGAAGAAGCATGTAAAGTTTGACAGCAGGCTCCAATGCAGGTGCAGCATGCCCAGTCGCAGGTCGAAAGACCTCCATAATTCCTGAAAGCGATGACTCATCCAAGGACTTGTAATTCTCGAAAGCTAGAGCAAGAGTTTGTTGAATCTGATCCTTGGTTTCTCCTAAGATTCGGTTCTGTGAAAACAAAAGTATTAGACATTTTGTTATGATAGAAATGACAAGAAAGTAAAATGCGATAAGCAAAAAGCATGCCACAACATAAAAGTTAATATCAAAAGCAACAATGATTCAAGAATACCTCTTGGTGACTCAGCGTGCTCTTGTTATGGCCTTTCATCAAAACAGGCCTTAGCAAATCGTACACCAAGTTGAGGCAATCAGCTGTTGGTGTAGCTACATCCATAACATAAGAGAGATACCTAATCAAGATGTTCATATTAGAAGCAAGACTCGGATATGGAATCAGTGAACAAAAAGAAGCGGCTTATAACAATCATTCACATGGGCATATCATTTTAACAGAAACAAGCTATCAATCCAACAACATTCCATTACCTCAGCTTGGTGTATACATCAGAAACACCATAATATGTTGCAAACTCAGTTAAAAGCCATTTCCATGGACCCTGCACCACTAGATTCCTTTGTTGAAAATGCTGAACCTTCATAGCAGCTTCTAAAACAAGGTCATATGCAACTGTTTCTGCAACAGAGCCACACTGAACCACAAAAGCAAAACCAATATCACAAAAGGCATTTTGCAATACATCGTATATAATGGAACTATCCATGTTCCCACATTCAGCTAATGGATTAATAATCATTCTTTGTACGATATTAAAGTCCAAATTATAAATAATAATAAAATAAATAACTATATACTTTCTTCCCTTTTCTTGTTTTTATTTATTTATTTATTTTTCCTTATCCTTTTTTGGCCCAGGACTGGAACATGGTGGCTAATATACATTGCTGAGGAATAATACGAGAAATCACTCAAGAAAAGATTCAAATCTTATCATTCCTTCATCTTTAGAAGATTACAGCACAATATTTAATGAGGGTATACATTATTTTGCTATTGGAAGAAACCCTTGAGCTAAATACTGTTATACACCAGTTAAAACTAAAATTGAAGAGATTCTCTTCTAAGGTCCTGTCAGTCATCCCAAATATATACTATATATCTATAGATCCTAACACCTGATAACAAAAAGCAATCAGACGATCATTTCTACATCCACTTCTTGAACCCGTCAAGATACAAGTGTAGTTAACCTTGTACGACAATTAAACTAAGAATTTTTTTCTTAAGGATTACCATTGTATTAGATTACAAAAAAAACTAATTCATAAATGAAACAACAAATGGAGAAACTCTTAATAAACAAGGTTAATATATCTTTAAGGATACTAAAGTAACAAATAAACACCTTGGGATTGTCATCTGAACTTGTTGAATAATATGTAGATAGCTGCATCTTTCCTACAGGTTCATGTTCTGGTTCACGATAGACAGAGAACCAGCGTTGCTTGTCAGCCTGCAATCAACAATAAAATTAGCCTTTCTGCCAGAACCATTATAGCTTTTATTTATCCTAAAGCTACCACCCTAAGGATTAAGAAGGCATTACTGGGTCATCAACAACTGTTGCCACTTGAACAATGACTCTACCAAAATGCTTTCCCTTCGAATCAAAGACTTCAACTATTAGATCATCTCCCAAACTATCTGGAAAGCTGTAAGAGGTGTCAGTACCCTTCTCAACATTCTCAAGCAGATATTGCTTAGTAAAAAAAGAACAAGAGAGCATACAAGACATGAGTTTCACCGGATCCAGGTTGCATCTTGACAGCATCTTCTTCAGTTGAACTTTTCAGTCTTAACAAACAAGAGTACGTTTCTGATGCCAGTTAAAAGTGAAGGTTAACATTCCAGTAATTCATGAAAGACATTTGGAAAGAATTATGTTATATACACTACAAAGTACAAACACAGCAGACTATCAGAAAACTGTAGCATGCAAAAAAGAAACAAAATGAGGCACCCTTATAAGCGGCCATAAGTTACGGATACAAGAAATGCTAGTCACAGTTTAAAAGTAAACACTTACAGACTAAATCTATGATTTAATGACAGAATAAGCACATAAACCTTCAAGGCTTTAAGATAGTCTCGATATACAGATTAGAGTACACCAATTGTCAGGAAGCACTAGGGCGTGGAGTTTCATTGCATATTTCTATATCTATATCTATGGGTTTCCTTCATCTAAGTTGTACGAAAGGTTGCACACTATCAATTATACTCCTGAAGACAATAGATCTTTCCGTGTGAAGTGGGATATCGAGATTATTGTAAAAGATGGTGCAGGTTGAATGAACGAAATTTTATCATCAATCCTTGTGGTACAAGGGGCATTTCAAAATAAAATGTAGAGAGAGAGAGAGAGAGTTGAATTTTCCATGCTCATACCATGCACAACTTCATATGAGGACGAACTGTCACGTAGACTTGTTACACCAGTTTTCAAAAGTCCAGACACCTGTTTTATATACTGAGTACCAGCATGCACATATGCCAAGCTTTGACGTGAAAAAGAACCATTTGCAGGTACCCGAGGTGCAACTCGAATATTTCGAAGGGCTTGCCATCCAGAGGCAAGTGTAGACTGGAAGCTGGAGAGATGATAACGAATGGATTCCAGTTTGATTACTGGTGGCCTTATAGACGAAATACTGCACCCGGTAGGTGGGTCCAGGCCCATTTTAATTCTGCGCACTGTACAATGAAAAAGAATTCAGAATGATCTCATAACCACGCACTTGAATAGTAAGAATTTAAAAACAGGCGTTAGATGCTACCTTGCACTTTCATTTTGCCAACAACTTTCTTTGGTTTTGGAGCAGCTTTCTCACTTGCAAGCTCTGAAGTCTGCTTTGCCAACAGTTCTTCCTCTGATTGTAAAAGCACTTGTCGTAAACTACAGTTTGACAGCAAGGTTTTAATGAGATGGAGTGTCAATGGTGGAAAAGATAAAAGTAAAGAAGTTTTTCACATCATTCACTGTACTAGTTTAAGCTTTCAACACTAAATATTTTACTAATCGCCTGATCAGAAACAATGTCAACATCACTGAACTCCCATAAGGTTCAAACTTTTTATCTCAAAACCCATCGTAACCTAATTCACTTCTGGCTTAGTCAAACCATAAACTCAATTATATTAATTTGCTATGTTGCATAACTTTTTTTAGACTATGAATTCATGCGAGGATTTGAACACGAAACTGGCAACAGACACGTAATTATACACGGTCTAATAAGAATGCCATGAAAAGCCGTCTAAATTAAGTTTAAGATAGGAGAATAAGGTGATAAAGAGAATGGACTCACCTAAATGCATCTCGTAGAAGAGCACATTCATTTTCCAAGAACATGGGAGCTTCCATGCATTCCATTGCCCAAGCATGAAGGCACAAACGCACACATGCATCATATGCAATGACACCATGCCATGGCCCTAGAGCACTGATATTGGTTTATGGCACATAAAGTCAATACATTTTAGATGGCAGAAACAAAGGTTAAACTTAAAAAAACAATTATGGCATTGGTTAGAGATACCTTGCATAATATGTTGGGAGCCGAGCTGAGCATGATGGCGCAGCAGCTTCGGAACTAGTTGTAGTTCTGTGAACAGAGATTGACATAAGTTGGTCCAGTTACCGAAACTAAAACATACTTATGTGACAAACTGTATGACTGAGAAATGTAAAATAGCAGCATGCTTCAAGTACTTAAGTTTGTGAAACAAAAAGTTTCATGTTTCTTTCCAACATAAGCACAGATGCATGCCATTGTTTCCAAATAGGACTGCAGTAATATGCATACCTTGCAAACTGTTCAAGATTCCCATTTCCAGTAACAACATCCTGCTTTTTACCAGGGGTTGTTTTGAATTCAGATGGAGAAGTAGCATGCGGTGTCCTATGCACTCTAGTAGGACTTTTCTCATCATCTTGTCTAATTTCCTGAGTTGCACCACTAAAGGGTGGTGCACTGGGAACATCGTCATCAGGAAAATTTTTACTCTGCAGCTTTGTGGAATGCAAATTCTGCAAAATGGACAGGTTCAGAAAGAGTATCAGTGCGGTAGTACACCATTTAGATACCTTGAACATTATTCTGCTGCAATGCTGGTCTGTTAGATAGAAAGTCCCTCGATACATAAATAAAACTTTTGCCTTACCAATTTTAGCTTTACCAACTCTTTTTAGTAGGGGTGAATAAAAGGAAATGTTATCCAACAGTTATTAACTAACAATGATTTAGTCAGCATAACTTTAGAATCTCAAGTAGGAGTGTGAGTGATAGCATGCTGTCTTGGATGTCAAACAACAATCCAGATACAATTAAAGATATAAATTCACAAACCTTTTCAGCAGCACTTTCCAAGTTCCTGCGTGAAGTAGAAAACTCTGAGCTTGCAGCCGAATCAGATGACTCGTCCTCCGTATAACCATTCTGCGCAACTGGATACTTCCTCGCTCCCCTCACCAATCTCTCTGCCACAGGTTTCTGTCTCCCCACAACAGTGTCCATCGAGGAACTGACATCTGAGTAAGTATAATCACTGCCATAATTGGTCTGCCCTTGCGACGGCTTCCCATACCTATGAGCAGCGGCACTGGGAACCCTATCATCTTGCGGTGACGAATCCAGCGAGTACCTGCCTCCATAAACTCCATCTTCTGAATCAGTGGTTCTGTCATTATCAGAAGCAGACCCACTCTCATCCCCATCGGCTGGAATTGTCCGAACCGGTATGGCATTGGAGGGCAAGTGTCCACTTCTAAATTTAGACGGAGGGGGGAGTCCAAACCCCCTGCCGCCACTACCATTGCGAATGTGCATAATCGGATCAATCCTAGGCCGCAAATTAGAACCCGAAAATGGAACTTCCTCCTTCTGATTAAGCAACACAACCCATAAATCCAAATTTCAGAAGTCAGAACCAAATTTTCTGACTTTAAAGCGCACATGCAAAATTAACACAAACCCAGATCCTAAATTCCCAAACACACTAGAACAAGAAGCAGCATTCACTCAAACAACAGTATAAATCAAACTCTACTTTATTATTTATTTATTTTTACTTAAAAAAAAAAGAAAAGGAAAGAGGGTATGATTTATCTTCACAAACCTCTCTAACCCAACGAAGGGCGCTCCTATCAAGTCCTTCAGTGAACATCTCTTCTGGATTCTTCCTTTACCTGATTCAAAACCCACAAACCAAAAATTTAAAAAAAAAAAAAACAACTTTTTTTCTCCAGAATCTTCCCACCACCCACAAACAACTTACATATGGCAATGCAGAAAACCCAAATGAGAGAGAGGGATTTCAGAGAAGAAGTAAAATCAGCGAGATTTTGGAAGAGAAAAGTGCTTCTGCGAAAAGCTATTTCAGAAGACGTGCTTGTTTAATGATCTCTCTGTTTCTTCTGGGTGTGGAAATCTGTCACACACTGTGAACTATATTCTGACTTCTTTCTTTCTATTTTCTCTTCTTAATTAATTTAGGATTTCGTCTACTGCTTTCCTTTTCTTTGTTATAGATTTTCAAAAATCCCAACGAATCTCGTACGCGGTCGAATAGGCAAGAATATTTTGGATTTGGAAGCCAAAACGGCGACGTAGAAGGAAATAAATTGGATTCTGTAATTAATTATTTAATTAAAAGTAATTAATTAATCTTCATCAAAAAAGGTTGTTTATTAAATTAATTAAAAGTTCTAACGTTAGATTATTAATGGAAAATAAAATGCTTTTCCGACGTAGCCGTCAACAAGTAACGGGAAGTCGACGTGGCGGAGCTTTTGTTTTTTAGCTTTTTTTTAATTATTTATATCAGCCGAAAAAAATAATAATAATGTTCCTAAATTCCGAACGTTGTAATGGGAACATGCTTTTTTGGTCTAATTTCGGGATCAGGATCCTCTCTTAATCTAAGGATGAGGATCCTTATGATTAAGGAATATGGATCGTTGGATAAAAATTCAACGATTATAATTATTATAACTTTAAAGAGATCCTTCTGTTTGTAACCGTTGGATTTTCATCAAACGATCTACATCCTTTAATCATGAGAATTCTCAGGAGAGGATGGTGGTCCTAATTTCGCGCTAAACCAGATTTTCCACTCACATGGATTGGTTCTGCAGTGGGGTCCCACATGCCATACTTTTCTTCTTTTGTAATTTTCTTTTCAATTTTGTTATTATCGAGGGAACTATTACAAATGAAGAGGATTGGAAGTTTAGAACGCAGGGCACATAGGTAGAATTTAATACAGTATTTCGTAGGATATTAGACTGCATGCAAATCTTTTGTAACTTATTGGCAATGAAAAATACTTATTTTTTAGGTGAAATCAATTTTTCTAAGTGTTAAATTACAATTCTACTAGCCTTTATGCACGTATGAGAAGGTATTTTTTGAATCACGGCATGCTACGTGCGATTTACACGTTTTAAATTAATAATATTAGACCATGTGAGAAGAAATCCCTCATAAATCTAGCTCAATCAACATAATAAAATTAGTCTTTCAATTTCGATCCATATTCGATTGAATTTACATTAAGAATAGAGAAAATAATATTTAATAAAAAACTGATTGAATCACATTATTACTAACGCATTGTGAGGTACTAATTATAAATAATAATATAAAAAAACACTGTACAGGAAAAAGTTACTTATTAAAAACATTGTTTATATAATGAAAATACCCCTGCCACATTTGATGTATTATTTTGGACTGCTTTTGAAGTTTTTTGTTTGAAAGGCATTTCTATCCACTTATTTTTTATGAAGCTTGTGATCCCAAAAACCACTGTTCAAAAGCCCTACTGGTTTTATATATAGAAGATATGCATGACAAGAGATTTTTGTGATTTTAATATTTTTTTTTATACATACATTGTGATTGTGATTTTGCGGCATGCAGCTAAACAAAAATTATGTTAATTGTAGCGGTTATAGGCTTAGTCAAGTTAACTGTAACAACATAAATAAGTTAGTGGTATAGTGAAATCAAACAGTCTTATAGCCCTCCTCACATCGACAATCTCCCACCTTTTTTCCTCCCTTTCCCTTGAACCAAATTAACTATATTTTTCTTATGTCAAACGTTAGATTTGTTAGATTAAATATTAAATTAAAGAGTCGAATGGGTTCGAACCACACCGTGAGGGCAAAACTCATCTCCACCAATGTAATAGATGATCACTTGCTATCATTTATGTAATTATGTTTGAATCTTTCTCTTTATCATTTAGATCAATTTCATATAGAATACCTCTTGACATTAAAAAACTTATAACACTGAATTTGTAACTTTGTTAAATTACTTTTGTGTATGTAACTGTAATTTACAGAAAAGCAGATGACCGACTTCACTTGGCTTGTTTTGGGGCAACCGTTAAGTCATTGGTGGGGTCTGGGCACTTTAATTTGAAACAAAAAATTATACCACTTGAGATTGGAATTGACCAACCCAGTGCTTAATGACTAAATCTACTAGATTAGTGGTGGTTTAGTGCCTTAACCCTTAAGCTATTTCTGCATGGGGTGGGAACCACCGGCCACATGCTACTCACACTGCCAACCAAACACCCTCAAAAACCTTTAGTTCCTCTCTGTCTTTTTTGTCTGACATCGTACGCACATGAGCTGTACACATCTAGAAGCCTAACTCTAAAACTCACTCTCCTACCAAACATTGTACTCAAACATAAAAACGGGTAGGGGCGATATGAAACAACGTCAACAAGTTTGGAAGAAATATTATCATGCGCATGAGCCGTGACACAACAGTAAATCGTAGCTACATCCCTCTCTATCTTCTTTTCGAATCACATGTGGCAACAACATAATTTTAGCTCTCAAGTCAAACAACATTTCAAATTAGTGTCAGCGTCTCCAAAAAATGGATATGTTTGAATTTGCGGAAATTTGAACTCAAGTGGGAAGTTTCAAACACTTACTTGCTTGCCACTAGATTGACTTCTTAGAGATTATGCGTATATGTATTTTGGATTAACTTGACAATTATCTTTGGTGATACACAGAAGCTAAACACAGAAAACGAATAGTAGGAAGGACTTTTTGGTTCTAGGTCGTCAAGGTAAAGATTTATCTCATATATGAATCATTTTCCAAATCTTATATCTTTGATTATATTGGATACCATATTGATGTAGCATCTTTAAATCCTAATCGGCTAATCCGAGTGCAAGTAATCTGATGCTTATTTTTATTTTATAAAGTAGTGAGTTTCAAAATTTCAATACATTTAATGTGAAGTCACCAGCTAATATTTTTTTTCTTAAAGTGTACAATAACTATAAAAATCAAAAGATCGATGAAAGATGCTACTACATTATGAAAGGTTAGAGAATATTTATGTACCAAAAAAATTGAAAACATAATAAATTTTTCTCTCTGCTTACAAGGACATAATAATTATATGCACATGATGGAATTTCGCTGAAAATTAACTTTGTCCCACAATAAAGTTTAGAATTTGTTTGAAACTGTTTTTTTAATGACTAAAAAGTTATTTCAAATAACTAAAAAAAGGGCTAAAACTAAAATATATTTGTACTCATAAACGCGTTTAGAACCATTTGAAAATAGTTATATAAAAAATATTTATACTCATAAATGCATTTTTTTTAAAAATATTTTTATTAAAAAACGCTTCATATGAAAAGTACTAAAAATTAAGAGTTTCAGTCGGCTTCCACAAATAGAATTTTCAAATAATTGGAGACAATAGGCCTTAATTAGGCGTGTGCTGGCTGACTTAAAGTGGAAATAATTAGCAGGCAACAGTTGGAGATGGACAATGACCGACTGATATTGACAAATTGGATTTGAATTATGAGAATTTTAACGAAAAGCTTATGGTACTGTTGAATTTAACGAAAAATCATATTTTTATATTAAAAGGTTAATTCTGATACTATTTATTTTATGTTTTATTTTGTCTTTATCGTTAAAACTCAAAGTTTTTAAACATTTTTCATTAGTTTTCGTTTTGATTATTGACTATGACTGTCTGTCATTTTCTAGTGCTGGACAAAAACCATTTGAATATTCAATCCTTCATTCCATCAACAAAACTTTCATGTGCTCTTTTCGATTAGGAAAATGACAAACACACATTATTTTCAATTTTCTACACACTTTTGTTTAATTATGTCTGTTATTTTTATTTGATTTGTTCATTCAACAATCAAAAATAAAGAAAATTGTAAGAGACGTTAAAAATAATGTATGAAAGTAAAGAAATTCCAGAGTTGGACGCTTGGACCATGCGTCCTTGCAGATACTAGACACCAGAAAATTTTCCTACTCACCCCTCATTTTGTGTCACACCTCCTCCCACCACATCCATGACCGAATGAGGATTCTCTCCAAATCCTCTTTATGAGGATCTTAGGAATCAATTCATCTTAATCATTTATCGTATATTATGCAGCCAGTTTTCGTTAGATATTATTTATGTTCAAATTTAAATAAAAAATCAAAATAATTTCTGATTACATAATAACTGACAAATGAATACGATGAATTGATCCTTAAGATCCTCACAAAGAAAATCCAAATAGAATCATGTTCTTCCATGACCAACCACATCCGACAGTCTCACATAAGAACCTCTTGTGAAAATAATGCACTAAGACAATTGAGTTATTGGAATGTGTGCAATTATTATTACTATAAGTCAAATCAACATTAGAATATAGCACTAACACAATTAGTGTGCCAAAACCGATAGTGTACAGAAAATGTTGACAAAGTGTGCAGAAAATGTTGACAAAGGAGGATGATTTAAAGTATAATATTCTGAAATAAACCACCATATTACATCGTCATCGTTTGTGACACGCTCAAAACGACAAGCCGTAAATGGAATTTTATTTCCGGGTTAACTCGACCAGATTTGCGATTCCAAATAAATTGTTATAGTTTCTTCTCAAAACAAAAAAAAAAAAAAAAAAAAAAAAAAAAAAATACAAGACAAAATACAAAGGGAAGAAGATGAAGTTTTCCGGATGTGTAATTTCCAATACATGCATAATACAGGAAAGCACACAACTTAACCGTACAACGCATCGACATTACACTCCCCGAGGAAAACTTTGATGCTTCGCGGCGAACCGCAGTCGCCTTCAGCGATAATTGCTCTGTCATTGGCAGCCACGTGAGCGACGATCTTGTAGATCATTTCGATCTGAAGGAACCAGGTAACAACGTTAGTGAAAGAAATGAACTGCACAGTGAAACAAATTTTTCTGTTAAAAAGGAGGATATGAAAAGGGGAAACTGGTAATACATCTTCAGTAGCGTGGCACCGGTCAGCTACTTCTTCAAGCGTCAATGGTTCGACAGGATCCTTGCAGCTGAAACACAGATAGTGGCGGTGAGAATTAGAAACAAACAATGACAACCCTGGTCACATTGCTTATGTGACATACGGTAGAAGTGGTCCTTCATTCGGATTTTGTTTCTTTTCCAATCAATGACAAGGTTGGTATTTTCGTATTAGTGCAACAGATAAGACCTTTCTCACAAGGATGTGACAGAAAAAAAATTTCCGCAGCAAATTGCCACTTCTTTTATTTCGTAAAATAACAAAATTACTTGATCTGGATTCTCTGTAAGAATCTTTCAAATAATGATCCTGTTGTTACAGTTCCAGAAGTTTTCCTTCATTTGGGAAATGTATGTAAAAAATTGGTTTTGTACCTTAATTTAGTGAAAATATCAAATCATATGCGAGGACGATGAACAGAGAATTGCGAAAGTGTTCATTTCAGAACCTATGCATAGAATGAGCTTGATCTCTAATAATTTGACGGCATACCTGGCCTCATTGAGCACTGCTAAAACCCGCTTCTGAAGGGCTAATACTTCTCCAGCTGCCTTTTTCCCAGCTTCAACACCTGAGACAACAATTAAATACAGAGGATTAACAGAGACAAAAGAAGGTAACTCACGTCACATATCAATAACAAATGAACGTTCTCAGTTACTACCTATATCGGGGACAAATGCATAATGCACAAAAACTAAATAAAACAAATAACCTTTCATTTCTACTCATTCACTTCCAGACCCAAGGATGGTCAAAACATGTTATTTACCAGGTTGATGGTAAGCGTTAATGTTGACAAGTGAAGCATATATCCCGACCGCTCTCTCATAAAGTGCTATGAGAGCGCCAACAGATCTTGGTGTCACTTCTTCCACTGTAACCGTAATTGACTCCCGGTCGTTTGAATAAAGAGCTGACCTTGTTCCCTGCAAAACTCAGTTTAGAATCTTAACATTGATGCATGTATGCTAGGAAATAAAAACGTAGCAAACCAGTTATAGCTAATAAAACAAAAAAATAAAAGGAAGTGACACCCAACAGGTAGTCACTTATAATGAATCTAACCTGCAGCATTCCGAACAGGTAGTCACCACATGTGACGCCGGGTTCAAGCTCCCAATCATGACCTGGTGGCCTATCACGTAGTACTTCAATGAATGTCACAAAGAAATTGTGCACGCCGTCTCTTAGTTGTTGAATGTAGCTGTTGAAACAGGTTCATGAAGCTCACAAATGGTATACATCAATTTATGGATCAACTTAGTAATGAAAATTGAAAACTTACGCATGCTGATCTGTGCTCCCTTTATTTCCATAGACAGTAAGTCCTTGATTCACCTGTGAAAGAAAGGTGCGCACTAAAACCATCAATTACAAAATATTGACCCAAAAAATAACCCACCATTAGAGCACCTCTAACAGATACTACTAATTAGGGTATGAACAGTCTTAAATAATCTAGTATGTTGATCATCAAGAGGGTTCAGAAAGCAATCTATGCTAAATTCCTATGTAATCAACTAATGGAGCTACACACATTATGAGGGGATCAAAATTCAAGGAGCAGGACTTACAGAACTTAATAAAAGCTTGACACTATCTGCGAGGCTACATACACAAATTCAAAGCTTGTTCACATTTAAATATCATATTATTCCATGCTAGCACTAAACACATCACATATGCGAACCAGTCTAAGTGATGAGGCATTGAAGCCTGATCGCCTAGGGAACTTATACAAGGGCAAAAACATGGTACGGAAGTCAAAACTAAACTAGACTCCAATTTTTAAGTGCAAATACCTACCCGCAGAAGGCAAAATCTAAAAATATCGCAAAATCCAAGTCTATCTTGGAAACTGAACTAAATGTTTTCAGGTGATCACCTTTTTCCCACTCAAAATAGAAGTAAATGAACAAAAAATGGTATACAGATTGTTGCACATACCCGATTTCCATCAAGGTCAAATTCCTTCCCAATAGATTCCATGACCAGCTGTTGTAAATACCGACTAAATAATAATAGGCTATCCTTGTAAGGAAGAACAACCATATCCTGACAAAGTGCGAAGAGCGAACATTTAGAAACTTCAAAATGAAAAACATCATAAAGAGATCACACTAAAATTTGACAGTATTTAAGGAGTAGAATAGAGCGAATAAAAGGTACCTTTGATCCCACCCCATCAGAAGCCCAATACCAGCATAAAGCAAGCAACGCAGCCGGATTATTCCTAAGCTGAACAAAAAAGCATGAAATACATTGGTTATTTGTTTTCCACTCCTATTTCGGTTAGGGGAGTACTAGCCAAACAACATAACTAGTCATTACTCATTACTTCCCACTTAGTTATGCAGTTTTACTCTCATGGAGTTCAACTTGAGGTCAGACTGGAAAATCATTCAATGTTGGGGAAAACGACTAACTGTATTACCAAAAACTAAACAGAAGAAATAACTTTACTGCTGAGAGTAACAGAAGATAGCAGCAACAGAGCAGGTAAGTCAATGACTTTTCCAAAGAGAACTATCAAATTTGAGGAGCCGGTGGTGTAAGGCATGTAAGTACACTGGAATTGACTTCACTGAAGGTTCTCTGAAAGGTGCAGCTCAGCCAGTACTTCTATTTTTATTTTTTTTTACTGCCAGCTGGGTAATTTTTTTTCATTACAAGGTAAAGGAATAATTTCCAACCAAAAAGGTTTCACACCTATATTACACAACTCCTATTACATCAAGTTAAATTATAGAAAAATTTGCAAAACAGCAGAATTATCCATCAAAATAGATAAAATGATTTTTTCAATATGTAAACTATCATATACAACCCCACTGACATTGTGATTCAGAAAATTCGCTCTGACCAACCAGGCAGCACTATATCCAATCAACGATAAAAAACAGAGGTAGCAAACTGATGCTCACCACAGTGGTTCGGTTTGCCTCATCCATCAAGTGTCCACCAGCGAGCATTTCTTTAATATCAATCCCCTGAAGAGGATCAATTATATAAGAGTTACCCATGATAAAAATCAATGGTGATCATATCAAAACCTGAATTTAAGGTCTCCAACCTGCAGTGCTGCCGGAAGAAGACCAACTGCAGACATTTCAGATGTTCTGCCACCAACCCAGTCAAACATGGGGAGTCTAGCTAACCATCCCTCAATTCTGGCAGTGTTGTCCAATAATGAATTTTCTTGAGTTATAGCAACACCCTACACATACACATAGCAATACATGACATGTTGACGATTACAAACGATTACAATAAGAGAAGAAATACCTAAATAAGAGTACTGGCAAAAATGAAACTATAAGTTACATCACCATATAGCAGCAAGCACTGCCCAACACTAAATATGAGGTGAAAGGTCGATCAATGAGGTTCTATCTCACCTTTAAAATAGGGAATCTGATGCAGACAAACAGAGAAATCCTAATAGCTCTAAAACTCCTTATAAATTATGAAAAGAAGCCAGCCATAAAAATTGATTGAAATTAAACATCAAATGGTGGTGTTGTGTAGACAACTAAGCCCTTTTGATTAATAGTCCAAAGCACTCATTAGAATAAGAGGTTAGAGGCTTAACCATCACTTTAGACAAAAGGAATTGCAAGGGATTTGTGAGAATCGTTGGCTAAAACTGGTAAATCAGAACAAAACAATAGTGTTTTCAAGGAAAGGTTTTTGAAGATACAGCCAATAGGATCAATATACCATGACAGGTACCTATGCTCCCCATCCTCTTAAATCATAGAAAAGGAAGATGATCAATGCAATTTCCTAATGCATGTGGCATGTTCGTCAGCCAGAGTGTTGGACACCATAAATGATAATAAATAAATAAAATAGAGCTTAACATCCCCTTCTACAACCTAATAAACCTAATATCCTACTCCAAAACTCTAGCTCCAATAACGCCATCAGAGATTTCTAGTTTTCTATAATGACGAGATTTAACATTTGATAAGTTGACTGTCAGAAAATTAATAAAGCAGAAAGAAAAACCTGAGATCAAAACCTGTTTTGCAAAGTTCAGGCCAGCCTCACGGAAGGCCTTCTGTACTTCCAGTAACCCATTTCTAGTTTCAGGAGTACCTCCACTCTGAAATTAATAATTTGAAATTGACATCATATCAGCAACTTGGATTACAACATAATCAAGACAAAGAATTTAGAATACAAAATTAGATGGAAATGTACACTGAACGCACACATCGTGTCTCCTCTCGTATTAGTTTCTCACATTTATGGTACCAAAAAAGGCTTATTTTTCTTAAATCTGGGGATACTAGAAACTCATTGGAAAAAAAAAAAACTGCAGTCCATGTGGCTTTGTCAGGAAAGTGTGGATGAAGTAAAATTGTTCGTTATAGCGTAAAGTAAAAAATATTCTCTTAGGTTTATCAATCACTAATTATATGTTTTTTAAACCATACCATCACACCTATTTCACCGGACGTGTAGTACAATTAATGCATAATAACAGAAAAAGGGCAAAGAGATTTTGTATTCAAACCTTTGAAATCACAATGACAAGTGTTGAAGCCAGCTCGGGCCCAAGCTGTGCAATCTGATGATCAATTCCTGCTGGATCGGTATTGTCAATAAATCTTATCTGCAAACAAGACAAAAACAAAAATAATCATTTGCACAAATATATAAAGGATCAAAATAGGAGGGGATAGAGTGATTGGCATTGAACTACACCCAGTAGCTAGCATATTTCATACCAGAACCGAATCTTAGCATTCTTCAAGCATGTAAATATGGTACACCGATTTTGGTTCGATAGGGGAAGCCTATAATGTCACAGAAAAGCTTGCATGTGGGCAGAAAGTAGAATGCACTTATAAATGTACCTTAAGAGGAGGGTTATCCGGAGCTAATGCCTCAGCAACGAACTGTGGTCCAAGTGCTGAGCCTCCAATTCCAACTGATAGTACCTGAGTAAACCGACCTTCCGGCGAAGATGGCGGCTTAATCTGCAATTTCCAACAAATCCCATTTCATCAAATTACATATACGAACGTATCTATTTATCAAATTATCAGTAGCTAATCAGATTAACCAATTAACGAACGGATATTAAAACACAAAAATCTGACCTTACCGCTGACGACGTCGTTCGAGAACTTCAGAAGTGCCTCGAGGGTGTTCTCAATCTGCAACCTGAGGAACGAGGTGGGGGCGAGCTTTGGGTTTCGAAGCCAGTAATGGCCGACCATGCGGCCCTCATCGGGATTAGCAATCGCGCCTTTCTCCAGCTCCTCCATGGCCTTGAACGCCGCCTGGAACCGGGGCTCCATTTCGGAAACGAACTCGTCCGTGAACCCGACCCGACTCACATCCAGAAACAACCCGAGCTCCTTGTGCTGGTACAGCCAGTCAACGTACCTCCGCCACAGCGCGTGTGGGTCCTTCACCAGCCCCTTCTTCTTACTCGGAGCCCCATCGGTGGTGTTCGCTAACTCCGCCGAGACCTCCCGAGCCACCGACAGAGCAAAGCCGCGATCGGCCGATTTGACCCGGCCGGGAAACGCTGCCGAAACCGAAACGGAGTCATTCCGCAGCGAACTCGCCGGTTTCAGCTGGCGCTTGATCGTCGGAGAAGCAGAGTAAATGCCGGAGATTGAAGCCATTGGAATCGCCGATTGAGGAACTTTTGAGGATTTTGGTGCTCCCACACTCAGTCACACCATGGATGTGTGCTCGGGAGTCGCGGTTGAGAAATGCGTTAGGCTTTTTGGCCCTTTCTCTCTCTCAGTATGTATTTTAGGCGTGAGCGGGCGGCGTTTGACATGGTTCACACATTGATTAGTTGGCGGTTTATTATTTCGTTGACGGAAATGGCCTCCGTTGGTGGTGTTATTACGGGAATGCCCGCGAATAATCTTGCGTTTCCTATTCATCGCGCTCTTTTGTGCTCTTGGTCATTTGCCGGCGCGCGGACCTGGCTACCGGATGTCTCGAAAGGACAATTTGGTCAAAAGGCATCCATCCGCTTCAGTGCCGTTGATTATTTAAATCCTGCGTGGAATCAACCAAGAGTTCTTTTGTTTGGCCAAATTGCACTGAGGGGCCCTGTAGATTCTGGAGGTTTCCACTTGAGTTCTTGTAATTTTGTCTTTTTTCATTTTCGTCTATTGGTTTCCAATTGAGTTTTCAGTTTCCATTGTTTGATAACTACTTTTGATTTTTTAATTCTTAAATAAAAAACATTATGTTGAGAGTTAAGGACTCAAACAATTTTTTTTAGCTAATTTCCCTCGACTTCTATTTTCTATTCATTTCATCCAGATTGTCGTTAAATGGAAACATTGCACACCATGGAAGAGTAATTTGATCATTTCGCTACTTCAAAAATGTAATACCCAGTGTATTTTTAGATATAGGATTTAGTTATTCATTTTTATGATTATGTGGAGGAAGTTGAAGACAAATCAACTGATGGTTATGAAATTCAAATGAAGAGAAATGTGAAATCTCGTTCCTGAATAGTATTATTAAATTAAGTATTTTGTATTTGTATTCAGAGTTACGATGCATTTATATTTATTATTTACGGCGTATAATTTTTTTGATAAGTTAAAAAGATGAAAATGCCCGTAATTGGTTAAATAGAATTATGCGGGGACATACTTTATCCTTCCATGTTTCGTCATATTTCTTGGCATATTTGGATAGAGCTCGATCCCATAAGCACGTACATGAAAACTATTTGTAAATCGGAATTATAACGAAGGAGTTATAAACGAGCAAAGACAAAGGCAAAATGGTCATTGGACCATTAATTTCTAGAAGGTTCCAGCTTGCTGGAGCAGTATTCTGGTAAAGAAAAGCCACGTGTGTGGCTATGATTGGAGAAGGGAAGGAAATGAAAGAAATGAGAGAGGGAGTTGCCCAAGGAGGAGAGGAAGAAATGAGGGAAATGAGAAAAAATAAAAAAAAAGGGAGAAGGGGGAGCCAACACCCAGATCCCCTTGACCTGCGTGAGACCGACTTCCAACCCGGTCCTTGGAGAAATTTCCGAAGTCATTTCCATCGATTTTTCGACGAGATGAAACCACCCATCACCACCACACTACTCACTGACCCCTCCTTTTCAATTTCCACCCAAACTCGACTCGGTTTTTCTCCAGTTTCATGATGAACTCCTTTGGTGAGTTCGTGGATTCCGCGGTGGCGATCCTCCGTTTTTGAAGGTTATTCCCTTGACCACCAACACTAATAGATTCCCCTTGAACCCAAGAACAAGTCCTAATCATTGATTGAGGCGTTGGAATCCAAGTGGATGACAATTCAAGGGGCACCAATCCTAGGGATTCCCGCGGCCTCTGTGACTCATGAATTTTAAGCAAAAACTATTAGATACTAAGGTGAGTCACCACTTTATTGCTTGAGGTGTCGGATTTTTACGAAAAACCTAGGTTTAGCTGTCATGCATTACACTTCCAACCAATTAAATGGCTTAATCTTTGCCGTCTTCACCTAGTATAAATAGGAGCTTTGCACCATTGTTTTTGGAGCATAAAAAGAAGGAAACATGCAGAGCATGCATCGAAGGCTCAACGTAGAGAATGAGAGTAAGGGTAAAGAAAGAATAGGGTTTAGGGTTTGTTGTGTGGAGATTCTTTGTATACTTGTCTTGCCGAGGTTCTAGCTATCGATCAAGGTGAGTGGTTTATGTAATGTGTTTCAAAGTATTCTTATTTTCTGATAAATGAAAACCACGAACTATCGTGGGTTTTATCTATTTTAAGTCAAGCATGTTGGATTTGTTGAAATGCTTTTGGAATAATTAATATGGTGATATGTGGATTATTTGGATATGTTCATGGAGCTTGAGAACTTTAGTGTTGCATTAATCTGAGGGATAAATGTAAACAACACACAGGGACATTAGGGCAGAAGGGCCAGGTCACGTGGTGAGTTACAACTTATGAAGGATGTAATGAACACGTGAATGGATGATGTGATATGAAATTACGTGGTTAAAGCTTTGATATTATTATCCTATTTTCTAGAGTGTGTAAAAAGGCATCGCTTGACTGGCATATTACTTATTCTACTCACTGAGCGACGGTGGTTGTTACTCACTTCTCACCTATTCTTTTACAGATGAGTTATTTGGCAAGATAAGTGTTATTTGGCAAGACAGGTGATAGACGAGCTGAGGTTGTGAACACCTTGTAAGGTTTTGTAGTTATTTTAATAAGAGGAGTTTATTTCTCCAACCCGTGTCAATTTCCTTTTATTTATTGAGCTTTTAACTCACGTTTCGGATTCGGGTTCGAGTTTTAATTACCTATCCCGGGTTCGGGGCGTGACAGAATCCCAAAAATCGTAACATCCTACATCAACCAACGGAGAGGGGGTGATGTGCCTTATATGTACATGTCTACCTCCATATAGCACGAGGCTTTTTGGGAACTCACTAGCTTCGGATTCTATTGGAACTCCAAAGTTAAGTGAGTTCGGGCGAAAGTATTCCTAGGATGGGTGACCTATTGGGAAGTTCTCGTGTGAGTTCCTAGAAACAAAACCTTAAGGGCGTGACCAGGGCCTAAAGCAAACATTATCGTGCTACGACAAAGTCGAGACTGGGATGTGATGAGGATGTCGGGCCTCTAAGGGTGTGGATTGTAACATCCCACATCGACCAACAAAGAGGGGGTGATGTGCCTTATATGTACATGCCCACCTCCATATAGCACGAGGCCTTTTGGGAATTCACTGGCTTTGAATTCCATCAAAACTCCGAATTTAAGCGAGTTCGGGCGAGAGCATTCCTAGGATGGGTGATCCACTAGGAAGTTCTCGCGTGAGTTCCTAGAAACAAAATCGTGAGGGCGTGGTCGAGGCCTAAAGCGGAAAATATCGTGCTACGGCGGAGTCTAGACTGGGATGTGACAGACTGTGTGAGCATACCGCTACCTCAACCCTAATGGGCTAAGCATATTAGTCCACTGAAGAATGGAAGGTTGCTGCTATTCCGTTAACTGCATATATATGTGAATGTTTTAAATTACCTAAGGGAGTATATCATGGAACAATTTCATTTCCTTGCGCTGAAGTTGAGAGAAATAGGCTCGACCAGCAAGAAAATATCCCTTACGCACTATTCAGATATGGGGAAGAAGCGAAGCTACTTGTTGAAGCCTTGGGTTTAGGTGGATTAGGCGGTTTAAGAAAATTTATTGTATAAAAAATAAATAAGTGCACACTTATACTTAAAAAAATAATATATTTTGTATAAAAATTAGGTTATATCATTATACTAAAAACCATATATAACTCATCTAAGAAATAAAGAACTAAAAAACATATATGTTACATATATTTAATTACAAATTATAGTACATACTAAATATTATGAGTATTTGAATAACTTTTATTAACAGTTCTCTTTTATGTGTGATTACGTGGTATTAGGATTTTAGGAATAATTTTCTTTTTCAATTTTTTTTGTAATTATAAAGCATTAGGATTCTAGGAATTAGGGATTTAATGCCACATAAACACCAAACATGCTTGCTTCACTTTTCCCCAAACACATTTCACTTTACTTACTACTCAGACAACATCATCTCTTAGGAAAAAAAAATAGAGGAGTTCAGAGACTTCTTCTTCCTTGAGAAGGTCTGTAACTTAGCCTGTCGACAGTGATTTGGCTTTGATTTTTCTGCTTTTGGTTGATTTTGGCCTTCATTAAGTTTGAAATCCGACCCTATCAGTCGATATCTAAACCACTGGTGTACATCGTTTCAAGATTCATAGTAAGCAAAGCAAACTGATGCGAGTTGTTCGATGGCAAGTTGATGTTTTCGCTGAATGTCCACACCCCTTACATGCCTAGACTGCTGTCTAGAGCCGCCTAAAGCACCTAGCGCCTAGGCGGCCACTTAAATCCCCCTTAATTTTCTGAACATTTTGGCTTGAATCGGATCGGAACACCACCGCCGAGCGCCTAGGCCAATTTTTAAAACACTGCTTGGGTTGATAGAATGAATGAAAATAAATGTTTGTCGTTTTGACCAAAGGGAGCGTTCTTTCAAAACTACTTTCCTAAGATAATACCATAATTTTCTTCAATGGGCCTTAGTCCGCCATTGGTTGGGAGTAGAAGGAAGTTGACTAGTCGGTTTATAGTGAATTTGTGTAACAAGTATTGATGAGGTTAGCTTTGGATATTGATTTGAGGCAGATTTGGGTATCAATTTTTATAGGTCTTGCTTCGCGCCATGCCTTAGATAGTCATGCTTGCCCTTTTTCTAGACCCACAATTTGATCTGATCCCACAAATGAAGGTGTAAAGATCATAACTTTAATCTCTGAGGCAGTCAAGCTATTTTGTTCACTTCTTTCTTGTTGGATCTTCAAGCGGTTTCACAATACCTTTAGTTCATATTAGGAAGGTAGGGGTGGTATCTTCTCTTGAGACTGCCAATAATAGTTCCATAAATCAATTCCTAACTTATAAACTCTCGTAAAATTCTAATTCTTAATTTATAGGCTCTCTTAATACACTTGAATTTTGCGAGTTATTTTAAAATTATAATTGAATAAACTTGGATTTTGTAAATTTTTATGAACTCTCTTAAAAATCAATTGAATACGTCACTTTTAAAGACACTTTTAAAATTTTGATTTAATAGTCCTGAATGTGTATAAAGCATTATAATCCTTGAAAAAAAATCTTAATTGAATACACGTCTTATTCTAGAGGACCATAAG